AGAAATTATAATACTTTTGCAATAATATACATATTATAAATCCAATGCTGTATGTAAGATTCTTTATGAAAATAGATTAATAAGTAGTTATTAGAAAAATGAAAAGAGTAAAGTTATTACTACATTCAATTATGTTGACTAATTTATTATGACTCACTTATCTATGATAATGGATTGCTCTATAATAATATAATGTGTTTTTTGAGTGAATTTGATAATAAGAAATAGGAAAGAAAAACACAAAAATAAGTAAATATTCAGTATTATAAAAGCATATATAATAATAAAATATATCAGATATAATCTTCAAGTAATTCTGTATCCATCATCTATTATGTAGTCAAGAAGAAAAAACACAATAATATTTATTTTTTTTCATTTTCAATAAAGTATTATGTAAACTGTTTTGTTCATTTGAAGTGAAACTAAGACATTTAATTTCTGTTTTAGAAGTCATTAGTATATCATTTATTTTGATCTAAGAGTATATTTCTAAGATTTTTGAAAAATTTCATAATTATTATTATATATAATAAAAATATAAATAATGGTAAGAAAGGTAAAAGTAAAGTAATAATTATATATTTTTTTAACTTTTGATATTTACAAAAATAACTTTTTGAAATCCTTTTAGTGAATAAAATTTAATAATAATTTTTTATATAAATTGAAAAGATATTTATTAAATTATTAAATTTAAACCATTTCTGATTAAATTTTAAAATTAATATATAAAAATAATTATATTTTATTTAATTCTTTGTAAAATGTAAGAAATAAATTCACTAGATAATTTAGATAAATAAATTGATAAATTAAAATTTGAGAATAATGATAATAATGGTATTTTTGAATTTAAGATATTTATGATAAAAATCATAATGATAATATTATATAATTCTAGGATTATAATAAAAATATAAATTAACAATATACAGTATGATAACTTTAAGAATAGCAAGGTTATAATAAATGTGTTAAGTAAAATATTAGCAAAATAAAAGTAAACTTTTTATAAAAATAATAAAAATGAATAATAAAGTATAAATTATCTGAATGACAACTACTATTGAAAAGATATTTCAAATTTACATATTGCTGATTATATAAAAATTATAGAGAAAAATAATTTTATAATATATTGCTATTCTTTTTAGTATTTAAGAAATGTATTATGCTAGCCTGTAGTATTTCGTAAAATTAAATCAAATCAGATTTTATCCAAATTAGATCTGATCTGATTTTTATTTTTTAAGATCTGAATCTTATCTGAATCTGATAGATCTGTTAAAATCCAGATCTGATCTGAATCTGATGAATTGAATCTCAAATCTGGATCTGACAGATTGATTTAAGTCCAAATCTGATCTGATCTGAATCTGAAAGTATTATTGAAAAAACAAATTTTCAGTTCTAAAAGAGATCTGAAAATGTTTCTTTTCAATAAAAGAAACCTTTTTGGCTCTAAAAGAGTTCTAAAAAGTCATTCTTTTTCATTAAAAAGAACCTTTTTAGCTCTAAAAGAGTTCTGAAAAGTCATTCCTTTTTATTGAAAGGAACCTTTTCAGTTCTAAAAGAGATCTAAAAATGTTTCTTTTCAATAAAAGAAACCTTTTTGGCTCTAAAAGAGTTCTAAAAAGTCATTCTTTTTCATTGAAAGGAACCTTTTTAGCTCTAAAAGAGTTCTGAAAAGTCATTCCTTTTCATTAAAAGAAACCTTTTCAGTTCTAAAAAAGATCTAAAAATGTTCCTTTTCAATGAAAAAAAACCTTTTCAGCTCTAAAAGAGTTTTAAAAAGTCATTTCTTTTTAATGAAAAAAACTTTTTAGCTCTAAAAGAGTTTTGAAAATTCATTTCTTTTCAATAAAAGGAACTTTTCAGTTCTAAAAGTAATCTGAAAATTCATTTCTATTTAATGAAAGGAAACAAATTTTTGACTCTAAAGAAGTCTGAAAATTCATTACTTTTCATTGAAAAGGAATTTTTCAGCTTTAAAAAAGTTAAATTCAGATCTAACGGATTAGATCTGAATTTAATCCAAATCTGATAGATCAGATCTGAATCTGAATCTAAATCTGAAAGATTAGATCTGTTCCTAATCTGAATCTGAATTAGATCTGAATCTGACAGATCTGATCTAAATCTAATTTGTTAGATTCAGATTGGATTCAGATTGATTTAAATCTGTGTGAAATATTACTGTCCTGAGTTAAGTTAATCAGAATACGTTTTCAAAAAACAAATAATATGATCATAATGCAATAATATTATTACTTTCCATACTTATACTCAAATCTCCTATTAAATCCAAAAAAATTATAAGTAATTCATCAGCAATTCAAACATATTGTTAACAAATGACGAAAATAAATAAATACTTTGATCAAAATTTGCAAGTAATTAGCAATATATTATTCAATTAATCAGGATCTGAAACTATATTAAATTAAACAAATGTAATTTAGGTAAAACAAAATAAAATAAAAATACAATTATTTATTACCTTTTAAAATTTCAATTTGAATTCCTAAAGAATTTCTTAGTTTGAGAAAATTGAAAAAACTAAATTAACAGTTAGTATAAATTGCTTCAGAATATAATAAAACATTAGAAGATGACTTTAGAAAATGAAACATATCAGCATTAAAAAAATCTCTGCTAATTTCTGATTTATATTTATATGTATGTAATCTGAAATTTAATAAAGCATTCTATTCATCAACGATTTTATGCAATTCTGTAATAAATAGTCTTTGATTGAAATTAACATCAAGACACTTATTTACTAAATTAATATAATATTTTAGTGTTCCAATGGCAACCCTCAGTCATAAACTATTACAGATTGCTAATACAAGGTCTTTGTTATGTGATACATTTCTGTAAGGTAGTTTTCCTGTTGATATTTCTATCATAATAATATTTAAACTATAAATATCACTTGCAAAGGTGTATGAATTACCATTATATATTTCAGGTGCTATATAAGAAGCATTTCGCAAACGTTTGAGTAACTATCAAATTTTAAATTCTTTAAAAATTGGGCAAGTCCTAGATCCGTTATTTTTGTAAAATCATTTATATATTTAATTTGAAGAATATTTCCACTATGTAAATCCTGTATACATATTTTAATTCATATATCTTGGAAAGATTTTGTGCAATCTTCTTAGAATACTCAATTTTTCTTTCCATTTTAAATTAGAATAATTTATTTAAAGATAATCTCTTAAATTTTCCTCACCTGCGTATTCTAAAATTATCATATATTCTGATGTTTTTAGATCACTTGTTACGCTATAAAATTGGATTAAATCTGAAAAGATGATATCTTACAGTAATAATATATCTTTACCTTATTAATAAATATATTTATCAGATTGTTGAAATCCTTGATTTGTTTTAATATAACTATTTTAAGTTCAGAATGTTATTTCAATCTATCAAATTTTGGAATACCGTCAAGCCACGTAGCAGAGTATATTTTGAAAAATCCATCTTCTCTTATCAATTTAATATCTTAAAATCTGTTATAAGGTACCCAATCCAAATTATAATAATAATGTTCAGTTTGAAGTTGTGATTTATAAATCAATTGATTCATCTTAGGATTTCCACTTGTTTTTCCTTCCTTTAAAAATTTGCCAGGATTATACTTGTTACACCAAACTTTTCCAGTATTTATTCGCTTACAATTGGGACATATCCTATCATATTTAAATCTATTCCTTTTTTCATCTAATAATTTATCCGACCTTTTCTTATATCTGATAATTTTACTTTCTTCCAAGAATAATTTGATATGACAGTCATTATACCATTTCTTTTCAGATTCAAATGGTTAATAACATTTATTACATCTACTATACAATTTAATTAATTCTTTTTTGGTTAATTCAATTATTTTATTACATTCATTCGTTTCAACTGAATCTTTAGAATTATTTTTCTTGGATTTTTTCTTCCTTTTGAAATTAATTACTTTAAGTTTGATTTTAATTATATTTACAAATTTATTTATTATTGTCATAATGATGAATCTAAATTCATTTTGAACAGGTTTTATATGAGGCCAAGTTTGGGCTTTTTGTGCAAATCAAATTAAGATTTAAAGATCGGGTTTTGGTATGAACCAATAAGGATAAAAAGATTATATTTGACCAGAGAAAAAATAAATGAAATGATAAAGTTGATCAGAGTTAATCTTAGCCAAATTAACAAAAGAACAATGATACCATACACTGAAAGTTTGTGATTGTGATGGTTACAATTTCAAAATATTAAAAGAAATCGGGTATTAATTGGAAATCATTCCCTTTTAAATGTTTAGAACACTTTGTTTCCCAAATATCATATGTTATTAAATACAAAAAATTGACATAAATGATGCGTCAAATTTTTATAGGTCAGAGTTGCACAATGCAGAATCTTTGAGTTCCAATCTATTGATAAAACCATAAAAATCACATTAATCCCACGATCCAAAAATTATCGTTATATGCTAAATTTCATAGTTGAAAATTCAAATTATAAAACTATTGAGGATTAGAAAATTCAAAATGTCGTCGTCCCCCATAAAAAAACTTCCCGCGTAACGAAAGTCGTCGATATAAGGGTATTACACAATGTATGTATTGTTCAGTTTTTTTTCTGAATGTCTGAATGTATAACTAAACATGTATAACAAATAGTCCATACTTGTATGATTTCTAATATGAAAAAAAAAACCATACTATACTATATAATAACTGTCAGTATATTGGTCAAAACATTAACTGTATGTTGATTACACAAATTAAAAATGCAAACTTTTTTATCTGGATAATCATCAGATCATCAGTAAAATTAAATTAAACGTAACCATCGGAAGTTACAAACTCGGATTGGCTTATAATCTCTTTTTTCGCCAAAAAAATTTTTTTTCATTGAAAAAAAATTTTTTTTTTTTTTTCTCCTCACCTCCTCTCTGTGATCTATCAAATCGTTTACATTCAACAAAAATGGTTATCGCCACGAATTTAGGTTTCCCTCGTATGGGCGCTAAACGTGAATTGAAACGTCTTGTTGAAAATTTTTGGGCTGGAAAAATTGACGAAAATGCCCTTCTTAGTGGTGCAAAGGTATGCTTTTGGCGTGTTTTCCATGATTCATATCGTCACCTCGTTCTGATATTATTATTTTTGCTGAATATGTAGAAACATCGTGAGGAGCATTGGTCTCTCCAAAAGAATGCTGGTCTCGATCACATTCCTTCTAATGACTTTTCTTTTTATGACCAAGTGGTCGACCATTCCTATGCTTTTGGTGTCATTCCTGCACGTTATAAGAACCTTAAACCAGGTCTTGAAACCTATTTCGCTATGTGTAGAGGTCTTCAAAAATCGGGAGTTGATGTTGAAGCTTGTGAAATGAAGAAGTGGTTCGATACCAACTGTGAGTATCAAAATTTTTTGCTAATCAAATTTTTTCATTGACTATTTAATCATTGTTTAATATTTTACCGCAGATCATTACATCGTCCCTGAATTTGATTCAAACCAACAATTCAATCTCAATGCGACCAAAATTACTACCGAATACAATGAGGCTAAAGCCGTTGGTATTCAAACTCGTCCCGTCATCCTAGGTCCGGTCTCCTATCTTCTCCTCGGAAAGCCTGCGAGAGGTTCTCCTCAAGAGTTTGAACCAATTCAGTTACTGAGCAAGCTTCTTCCTTTATATGAGGAAATATTATGTAAATTGGCTGAGGCTGGAGCTACATGGATTCAAATCGATGAACCATGCTTAATTCGTGATCTTCCTCCCACCCTCAAAAATGAATATACTTCTGCCTATAATGTGCTCACAAAGGTGTCTCCTAAGCTGAAAATATTGATTGCAACATATTTTGAGCGCATTGGTACCAACATTGATTTCATTATTGATACTCCTATAAATGCTATTCACATTGATTTGGTTCGTTCCCCTGGCCAATTGGAACCAATTTTGAAACGTCTGCCTTCGACCGTTTCCCTGTCCCTTGGTTTGATCAATGGACGTAACATTTGGACGGCCAATTTAGATGATGCTTTAGCTGAAGCTCAGAAAGCCGTCACCGCTCTTGGTTCTGAGCGTGTTTTCATTGCTCCATCCTGTTCTCTTTTGCACACACCTCATTCTGTTCAAAACGAAAAAAAGATGGATTCTGAAATGTTGGGTTGGTTATCGTTTGCTGTTGAAAAGATCCATGAGTTGGTAATTATCTCTAAAGCATTGAATTGCGGTGTCGATTCGGTTCAGGCAGAGCTTGATGTTAATCGCAAATCGTAAGCACTTTTTATTTCCTTCTAATGTCACTCAAATTCACGTGATATTTATGTCCCGTGACTCGCAATCAACGGTTGTTAAATATGATTATGTCGTATTTAGAATTCAAAGCCGTCGAACATCATCCCGCATCCATGATCCAATTGTGCAAGAGAAAATGAAGTCTCTCACACCCGATATGTTCAAGCGTAAGACTCCTTTCCGTGAAAGACAACAAAAACAGAAACAAAAGTTGGGACTTCCGCTCTTCCCAACGACCACTGTTGGATCTTTTCCCCAAACAAAAGAAGTCCGTTCTATTCGCGCTAAGCTCAAGAAAGGTGATGTAACTTTAGCACAATATGACGATTTCATGAATAAAGAAATCGAAAAATGTATTCGCTTCCAAGAAGGAATTGACATGGATGTACTTGTACATGGAGAATTCGAACGTAATGATATGGTGGAATTCTTTGGTGAAAACCTGCAGGGTAGGTATTTAAATTACCAGTTTTGACTAAATCTTTGTTATTATACAATACAATCAATTGATTTATTGAGTTTTCTAAAATAGGATACGTTCACAGTGAAAACGGATGGGTTCAATCTTACGGATCACGTTGCACAAAGCCACCCATTATCTTTGGGGATGTTTCTAGGCCAAAACCCATGACTGTAGAAGTTATTAAATACGCTCAATCCCTGACCAAAAAACTTGTGAAGGGCATGTTAACGGGTCCAGTCACCATGCTCCAATGGTCATTCGTTCGTGATGATCAACCCCGAAAGGACACCACATACCAATTGGCTCTTGCCATTCTCCAAGAAGTACAGGATCTCGAAGCTGCTGGAATTTCTGTGATTCAAGTACGTAAAAATATCAATTTCCCGTGAAAGTGATCGGCAAATTACATGCAATGTGAACGAATCTGTGCAAAACTTTCGGGTGTCAATGTTAAATTTAATTGCTCTTATATTTTGTTATTACTTAGATTGATGAGCCTGCTATCCGTGAAGGTTTACCTATCCGTAAAGAAGACTGGAATGAGTATCTCCAATGGGCAGTTGACGCTTTCCTTCTTTCTAGTTGTGGTGTCGATTGTTCCACTCAAATTCATACCCACATGTGCTATTCCGACTTTAACGACATTATCGAAGCGATTCAACGGTTGGATGCCGATGTAATTACAATTGAAAATTCAAGATCCGACTTGAAGCTCTTGAATGCGTTTGAAAAGCGCGAATACACAAACGAGATTGGTCCAGGTCTCTATGATATTCACTCTCCCCGTGTACCTTCAACGGAAGAATTGAAGACTCGTCTGAAAGAAATCCTCAAATATATTCCTAAGAATCTTTTGTGGGTAAACCCTGATTGTGGCTTGAAGACACGTGGATGGAAAGAAGTCGAAGCAGCGCTGAAGAACTTGACAGATGTCGCGAAGGAATTTCGTGCGGCTGAGGCTGGTTGTTAATTGTATTTGGATTCTCTCAACAGAATCAAGACTAAAATTAATTTAAGGGACATTGACTCATGCGATACGCCTTTTGTTTAATAATTTTATTTAAAAATATTTATTAAAATGTTTTTCTTTTAAAACTTGATATGCAATTGTTTATATTTCGAGTTGGTCAGATAAAAGACTATTATTTTTCTTTGAATTGTGGCCCAGTATAAATTAAAATCAATTCCACAGTTATTAAGATACGCTTTTGGTACCGTTGATTTTATTATGAATGAATTCTTCACTGTTTATTTTTAAACCGTCTCTCGATTTTCCCGACCATAAATTTATTTTACAAGTAAAAACGTGAGTAGTCAATTATGAGAAATCACGTGTAGGGTATATATGACCTTTCTATGGATGCGATATTATGAACTCATTTAACAACAAGCGTCCGCTATAAACAAGATCTTGCTTTATTTAATTGTCGAAATTATGTTACAGACAAGGTCCTTTAGACTATTAAATACACTTTCGACAAGTCATTTCACAACATATCGATTCATTTTATTCTAAAAATGTTTAAAAAATCATCAAAACAATTAGTAAAACTCTGCGCAGTCTGCAATTATCACACATAAGTAGCTTCGTTTATCATCAGTTAAGCCAACGAGATTGAAAGCCTACATTTTCAGGATGCTTGTAGCAAAATCACGTACGTTCCCGATTAAAACCTATCTTTTATGCACCAACTCACGCCAACTTGGGCATGATTTCATAAATTGTGCGAGAACTATTCCCTACTCTACGAAAGAAAAAAGTCACAATACCCTTCCAAATTTATTTTGAATTTAAACCTCTGTTTTTCTCCAAACTTCCTCAAGAAAAATTCGAATCACCGAGTATACTTTTTTCTTTATTTTTATAGATCCACCGTTGAATAATTCGTTATTAAATACCTTTGAATTTAAGCAATTACTTTTTCATAGTTTCCATTTATTTGTTAAATAAATGCTCTTATGTAAAATCAAATTTTTGTTCTCATAATCAACTTATCAAGTCGAATATTAATTTCAAAGTTAAACCGATCATTTTGTTTCGAACCCTCTTAAGAATTAATAATTCAACAGGATTTGGTCATGAAAAAAAAATTATTTATGTCTTCTGTGATAATGTTAAGGTTTCATAATCGGAACCACAAGAAAATCGTAAAATTGTCTTTTCCAAAAGTCGACCCGTGATCAAAAATGGAAGAATCAATGTTGAAATCGAACCATTTCATTTCAGAAATGCTGACAAGAAATAAAATATTAGTATAAAAACAAAAAAATTTGATCTTTTCATCATCTTCGCAATATGCAATGAGCATTAGAAATGGTTAAAATTATTTTACTTATGATATAATGTTTATATAATCATTTTATGAGTAGCATAAAGGAGGATTAATTAATATGATATTGGTACAGACTGACATTCTTATTGAAATTTCGGAATTATTCTAAAGCAGTTGAACAGTTGAACCAATAAAGAAAATAACAAATTCTCCAAGGATTTAAGAAATTTTATAATCAATAAATTATGATGCCTTTAGGCGATGATCGATTTATTTATTTTTGTTTTGCTCTAAAAGGATCTATTTGTGCTCTTTCAACTTACTACAAATGCTTATCCTCTTTCATCAGTCATTGTTTGAATAATGTCGCAACTTATCATGGATCAGTAATGTGACGTAAAATCTAGTTATTTTGATCGTAAAACGCGAAAAAAAAAATAAGATTTAGACTTTGAGCCTTTTTGCTTAAAATCTTCTATAATAAGATATCTTAACTTTTATCATAAAGGGAGAAATCCATTGTCTTGACTGGACGAGTATCTTTATCTCGGGTCGTGTAATTTTGGTGAAGATGCTAGGAAAATCAGTCTCTTATTTCGAAACTGAATTGGCTGATCAGATTAGGATTAATACCAAATTTTGGTGGTCTACAAAAATTTTGGGCGCAGTCTTGCAAAGTGCTTATTATCGCGTCACGTTCGCGTTGACCAATTACGATGAACAAATATTTTATTCATTCCCAGTTTGGGACTCGAGTGATCCATTTCCGTTTGTTCAGACAAAAGCTATCAATAATTTCATAGAGGTTAAAAATAAATTTTACCGTAGATAGATATTGTATATGGATTTGTTAGTTTGGAACATTGGCATTTACGTAGTGCTAGTTTCAATGATCGATATAAAAATAAAATGGAAAACAATTTTCTGGAGGGGGTTTGTTTAATATTTTATTCAATTGATTAAAATGAAACTTTTATCAAAATTTATGATTATATGAGAACACAGTTATTATGAGGTACTTTATCGATATCGGTTGATGAAAATGAAAAATAATTTTAAAAAATGAGCCACTTCAGATCTTTTTCTACATATCCCTTATGGACGACACCAACTCCCTTCACTTCTTTCGGAATCTTGACCAGAGTTCCCGGGTGTAAACCCTTTCACCATTCAATTCATACGAGATTAACACTAAATCTAACACCTTATCACACGATTAATTCTATGATTTGATGTAATTTTCAAAGGGTAATATTTTTATTTTAATATTCCTTAGCGTAAGGGGTGACCCTTCCTAACCTAACTCAATCCCACGCCAAATCCTAGATACACGCAACTACAAAACTTATATATTATTCAAAAGATTCTCCAGTATATTGATGTATCAAATAGTTATTACAACATGAAAAGGACGGGTAATTGTTGAAAATATGTAACTTTATCAGCTAGGAAGCAGAAAGTATTGGAGTGATGGATGGATAGGTGATGTAGATGCAAATGTTTAGTGTAACGAAAGAAGAAAACGAAGGTGTTTTTAAGAATAGCAAGAATGAAAGGATTTGTGAAAATAAAATAGAGGTTGATTTAATATATTTGATCTATAATTTTTTAAAAAAAAATTCGACGCAAATCATCACAGATATTAACTGTAACAAAATGTATCACGATATCATTTATTTCTTCATTTATAAAAATTTACAAAAGGAATTTTTTTTTTTTTTTGTGTTTTTTTATTGTAATTAATAATTAAAAAAAGTTCGCAAGGTTATAAATTTATAAATAAAAACTACTTTTAAAAAAGAAAAAAAATTTTTTTTGCAAAATTTCCAGGAGTCTAGAAATAATCCGCGAAAGACAATTTCCTTAATGCGTTGATTTTGAATTCTCGTAAGTTTGGGAATTCGGCAAAGAATGAGTGCGGATCGTTCTCATTCCAAAATACGCTCGTTTATTTTCTTTGATAGACTTTTCCAAAGTGCGCTCTTCTATTTTTCTTTGCTAGCCTATTCCAAAGTTCTACACCTCTATTTTCTTTGCTAGCCTTTTCCAAACTGCACTCTTCTACTTGCCATTTTCTTTTCTTTTTCTTTTGATTACTACTATTACTATTATCATCAAAATAATTTGTATTTTACATGTTGAAAGGTCTCTGAAAATAAATTATTATGTGTAAAAAATACTAAAGAATGTCCAACACCAGAACACGAAGATTTCCATGCACTAGTATTGTTCTTGAAGAGATCAATTGTTTTTATTCAACAGTGATTTTTCGAACAAATAAATCCAACCCTATCGGATTTTTGAGTAGTCTTTAATCGATACTCGTCTGCGTGGAAATCGATTGCGTAACCTTTTTCAAATCAGCTTGTTCGAACCAATATTTCAGTAAAAATATCCACTCATCTGGGTATTCTGAGTAGCTTCTGAACTCGTGAATTTTCCGAATCAAATTGAATGATGATGATTCGGAACAATTCATATTAAAAAGGGGTGAATGTCCGAACATCATCTAATAGTTTCTTTAATTAATGTAAATAGGATCACGACCACCAAAAAAAAAAAACCACACGAGGAGTTTATGGTAAATGGATAATTCGGAATGAATGTGATAGGAAGTTTTGGAATGTCGCCTAATTGGCGCGGTAGTAGTGTAGTCTCCGAGGTGCTCCTCTCGGAGACTTAATAACATATACCTTGAAATATTTTACTAGCCATTTGTCTTTTTGATATATTATTGTCCTTTTTTTTGCAACATATTTAAAATTGAGCTTATTAAATATTTTGTAGTAGTCTATTTTTATTTTGGATCTTTTTAGAATTTTGAGTAGTTAAGAGTGGGCGGGGATCAGTTCAAGTTTTTCGATACGAGATTTCTCAGCATCCACCTTTTTTTATATTTGCATCAGGTGGGTGGTACGTTCGTGTAACGTGAACACGGAGTTGGATATACATCGTTCATATTAACAGAAATGGCTATCACCATACTCAAATAGTAAAAAAAAAGAGCATAAGTCATATTTTTGATTTTGGCAAAGTTATCGTTACATGAAGAATCAAATTATCAATTTACTTCAGAAGCAAAGAAAATGGAGTATGATCTTCATATACGATATGGTTCATAATTTAGGTTTTACTAAATACATAAATATTTAAATATAAAATTTGATATATTAAGATATTTAGGAAAGTTTTTACTAATTACTAATTCAAGATTTTAATGCATATAAAATTGAATATATTAAGAGTTATAAAAGTTATGTACGCTTAACTTTATAATGAACTGACGGTTCTGTTAGAAAAAAAAAAGTTCATTATATATATTACTATGTTTTCTATATGAATTAAACTTCTATTATTAAAATTTAAAAATTTTGATTCGGAATTCGTTATAAAGAGATTCGTTATAGAAAGAGTTGACTGTATTATCTAATTTTTAACTTTTAAGCTTATAATTTATTAATTTAAATCATTTATATTTTATTTTGATCCTTAAATTTTAAAGAATATATTAAAAATTGTTATAATATTAATTATACCTACCAAATATACAGCAACTTGCCAAAAGTGTACAGGTAGCTCTAAAATATAATTTTTAAATCACATTATCCTAGAACCAGTTAATGGATTTTAATGATCTTTGATTCATTAGAATTGTCATATCAAGATGCATTTAATCACATTATTTTCATGTCTTTAC